TATATATATATATATATATATATATATATATATATATATGTATATATGTATATATATATATATATATATAGAGCTATGAATATTGCTAACATTGATTTTGAAATGGCATTAAAATTAAAAATATTTAAAGTGCAATACTGAAAACAGCTTGTTTTTACAAGATGAAGAATAAGTCAATTATTTTCTGTAGTAGTACACAATGTGACAGTTTAAACCTGGAATATTCTTGAGTTAAGTGTCTTGTTGTTCTGTGAGACGTTTTCACTTACGCCTCTTTTTATACCATTTTGTCAGCTGTTTCTCCAGCTCTGCTACATCCTCACGGGTAACTGCAGCCTTCTGAACCTGCTGAGCATCACCCTGTGCTTCTCACTACTGGATGATGATCATTTCAACTCCAATACTGGTCCAAAGAAGAAGAAGGGCCAGGAAAAAAAGCCTGGAAGTATGACCACATATCTCTAACTTCTGTTTTGAGCAGTAATTTCTGGTGGGATAGTCACTGACTTTCACTAATGTTCTGATTAATTGGCTCATTAATAGATCTCAGTTTTTAAAAAAAATGCAAATGAGTAGATGTTAATCAAATCTGTTTGTTCTGCCAGTACCACACTAGTGTTCACACTTCTGAGCTTTTATTTAGTGTATGACTGTGTTTTTCAGGCTGCGGACAGACCTTGGTCTCTTATTTGATGCTGCTGGTAGAGTTGGCTGTCTACCTGTTCATCCTCTACTGTTTTATTAGTCTCTTTAAACTACAGATTAACTGGGAAGAAAAAACTCTGTCATCTAAAACAAGTGAGTGAGACTTCAAATGAGAAATGTAAAACTGCTTTTGCAAAGGAGCTGATGTTTCCTTTAGTTTGTTAACAGATTTATAAATATGAGTACAAACATAGAATTGAACTGTTGTAAAATGTTATGATAAATTTCATAGAGATATGGTGAGGTTGTATTTCAATCCAAAATCGAAAGAGATATCTTGAATAAGTGAAAAAAAAATCATGACAATTAATGAGAAATAATCAATTATACTGAAATCCAGAATCCTGTTTGAACACAAACATTTGCATAAAATTTGCATAAATTACAACTAAATACTACCATGACCTATAAATACTTAAAAATATATATATATATA